GCCCCTAGTGCTTCTGGGTTCGCGGGTGGGTACTGCTGCAGCGCCTCTGGGGGCCCCCATGGGGGCCCCTCTGGGGGCCCCTCTGGGGGCCCCAGTGGAGTGGGTACAGGGGTGGGGGCCCCTGTAGGGGGCCCCCCAGATGCGGGTAGTGTTGACTCGGGGGCCCCCGTTGGTGGGCGTTGTATGGTAGTGAATCTGAAGAGTTTTTGTACCCGTTCTTTTAGTTTGGGGGCCCCCCCTGGGGGCCCCTTCGGGCGGTGGTTGTATGGGGTGTTTGGGTTTCTTGGTGAGTGTGGGGCCTCAGTACCCAGGGGCCTCTTTCTATGGGAGCTGATTCATCCGCAGACAGAAGCAGGGTTCCCGCTAGTTAGTGTTTCAGGTGTATATGCAGTTCGTTTGTATTTAGAGGGTAGCTGGAGAGTAGTACAAATAGATGATATTGTACCCTATGGGGGCCCCCAAGGGGCCCCCGTATTCCCTCAATCTATAGATACAAGAGAGATGTGGGGGCCCCTACTAGCCAAAGCTATTCTTAAAGCTTTCAGGGGGCCCCTTGCTGCTGGGGGGGGGCCCCCACCTATCATAGAGGCCCTCACGGGGCGGAGAGAGCTGCTGCTGCCTCTGTCTCCTTCTCTTGTCTCTTTATACTGTCTCAAGGGCCTCTGGGCCTCTGTTAAACTAAAAACACCTCCTGCTGCTGCTCCTGCTGCTGCTGCTGCTGCTCCTGCTGCTCCGGCTGCTGCTGCTGCTGATGGTGGTGGTGGTGGTGCTGCTGCTGCTGCTGCTGATGGTGGTGGTGATGCTGCTGCTGCTGATGGTGGTGGTGCTGCTGTTGCTGCTGCGGAAGAGGAAGAGGCAGAAGCAGCAAAAGAGGGTACAGAAGAAGGGGGGCCCCCCCCAACACCCTCGGGGGGCCCCTACGACGATATGCTAGGATGGAGGCCCTTTCTTCTTGCTGCAGCACGAGAAGGAGAAGCAGCAGCAGTTTCTCTATTAAACAGACAGTCAGGTGGGGGCCCCCTGCAGCAGCTTGCGGGGCCCCCCGGGGATCTATTCGCTGCAACAGCGGAAACAGAAAGGGGGGGGGCCCCCAGGGGCCCCTCTGCATCGGGGGGGGGGGGGC